GTGGGGTTAGGACAAGGGGTTGGGGTGAAGTTAACAAGTCTGGAATTACCCTTGAGGAGGTCTTTGGGTGGCGAGTCGGGAAAAGTTAAGTTTTTGTTTTTTAGGCGAAACTTTTCATTGTTGTTTGTTGAATGAGCCAGGGTTTGCAGCATAGTAAGGGGTTTTGCTACATATACAGTATAGCACCTTGGATGGAGCAGCGTCAGGAAGACAGAGAGGGACTGGCTGGGGGGAGATATTGTTGTGTACTTGAAGGAGTTCGGTGGATCTGATTGAATTTTTGCAAATGGGGGTTGTTGGCGATTTAGGGTTGTTCTCTTGGTTTTTTCAATGATTTTCTTTGACGGGATCTTTACGTAAGGGCATTTTGCTCAAGGTGGGGTTTGAGTACCCTGCAGTTGAGGCAGGTAGGAGAGGTAGTGGTAGTAGACATTTCCTTGAAGTCGGCCGTCTTTAACCGCATTTGTGCAGTACTTTTCCCTTTCAGAGGACAGTCAGGCTTTGGGGGTTTGATAGGATTAGCAGTTCCAGCGGGCGAATGGGGCGAAACGTTTGGGGTTTCTATGTGACTGAGGATATATGTAGGAATAGGGCCGTCAGACATGCTCTAGTAAGCCATCTCGATGTTGGAAAAGGTTAGCTTGCATTGTAGATGCGTTGGGATTTGGTGATATGTTCAATCGACGCCCAGGATTTTGTCCTCGATAGAGTCTGAGATCCTCAGTCGATTAAAGAATGACGAACATTAAAAGGTATAAAATACCGACCAGGTTGTTGGTAAGACACATATGCAACAGTTAGACTTTTTTTCGAAACTTTTTCGCCTACACAGTAGGCTTCTTCAGTCGAGTACAAAAAAGTTGATAGAAGCAGAAGATACTTTAAGACGATGTAATCAGTCCATCACCCTTAAAGTTTTGAGGTGGTCAGTCCCTCAGTCTGGAGAAGAGCATGTTCCATGTATGAAACAATCTCTTCGCGACGAGGGGCGACCACCCCAAAACTTTAAGGGTGATGGACCCGATTACATCGTCTTCAAGTATCTTGCTTCTACAACTTTTCTGTACTCGATGAAAAGCCCACTGGGGTAGGCGAAACGTTTCGAAATAAAGATACCTAACTTTGCATATGTTTTTTCTAACAACAAGAAGTGACGAGTTTGTCCAGCCGTTTGAGAAAAAAGGAACGTTCGCCAGCAAAAAAGGTGAGGGAGTGGAACTGTCGGTCCCCTTTAGGGTTTTCACAAATGTCGGCGATCAGCTTGTGGCTTCATAATCGTCCCGGGACGACGACGATGAATGAGTCTTTCGTCGAGTTGATGGCTTAAATTTAACCTGTAAGGCAAGTCTTTACAACGGCAGCAAGGCAAGTTTAGTAGAGTCATTATTACCTCCACTGTTGGGTTTGATCCCCTTTCAACGGTTTGCAAGCATCAGAAGGAGTAAGTCAAGCGCTGGCGATGACTAATGGTTCCCCCCGACGGGGATCGAAGGAAACTTCTTGACGTGAGGGGCGACCCGTCTACGAAAGATGTGTTGGAGGGGGATTGACTAACAGAGGAACGAACTAACGAACGAAAGTCAGGTAAGACCCAAGGGAAGAGCGGGAAAGACCCGGGACGACGAAGAACATGCTGAGAGGAAGGTCCTTAGTCGTAGAAATAGGCCAAGGCCTTACCCAGCACGAGGCGACGTGGACAGATATTGAAAAGAAAATTCAGGCTCTTCTGTTGGGACTCCGGTGGGGTGAGCGGGAAGGAAGGACATGCGACCGTTAGACTAGAGAGGAGTGTAGAACTGAGCCATGTCTTAACCCAAAGGGTAAGGCTAACGTGCATCATAGAGAATGGTACCTGGGGGGTCCTTAGAAGGTACCTCTCGGAGAATCCAAGTTATTTTGTAAATTGGGTAAGAGGCAGGATCATGCCAAGGAGTAGAAAGTTGTGTTGGTTTTGTGGGTCTGCGAAATTCCTTCGTCAAGGAGAAGGTCCAGTAGTCATTCGTGTCACAAAGTTTGTCAACTGTCTGTCACTGAGCGCATCCAGTACAGATTCAGCGCAGGGTTGTCAATCTGGCATGTAGAGACTCGCATGTGGCCGAAGTCCACCCATCTGACATCAAGCACCCACGCAGCTCCATGTTCTGGACACGCTGCATTTAAGTAAGTTTGTTTTGCAGCATGAGAGAGGGGCCTAAGGAGATAATTATCAAGACCATAAGGGATTTGTAGAGTTGTAGTTTGGTGCGTTGACCTGAAGGCTGTTTCAGCTTGTAGCGGCCGCAAGGTCCTTACTAGCTATTGCATGCCTTGAGTGAATGTGGTCCGTGTAAGCTTAGAATAGTCAAGATTAACTCCAAGGACAGTGACAGATTGTGTCATGGGGATGTAAGTGCGGGGTGTCAGCAGATCTGAGCTCACAGGTAATGGAGGATCACGTTTTTCTGTAGCTAAAATATGTAATGCTGGATTTAGCTGCATTGGTATTTGATCCTCCATTTTGTCCCAGATGGCTACCTGACGACTCATTTTGGTGTTTGTGGTTTGAGTGTATCTATAATGGCAGGGTGGAAAAAATAATTTGTTAATTTCCTGCATAGCTAGTGTGATGGAGTTTTGGTGTACAGGTGTTGAATGTCCGTTAGTGTTAAAATGTAGATGGTATGGGAAGCAGACAGATCCCTGGGTAACTCCAGCATTTAGTGTGAAGTAGTCAAGTAACAGCCTTGGAATTTGATTCTCATAGGTACGGCCGTCTAGGAAGTTCAGAGGAGTTTACGAAGTTAGTGAGAGGCAGGTTTAAAGTTAGTGCAGAGTTTTGTACTGAGCCCTTGGGCCAGAACATTGTCAAAAGCTTTTTCACGTCTTTGCAACCAGGCTAGCCCTGTTTCGTTGTTTCTATGTTTATGTGGAGTAGTTGAGAATGATTTAAATGCATCATTGTGTGGATCTATGTGTTCTGAACAAACTGGCCACAGAAAGGTCAGCAAGTGAGGAGTTTGTGTTCCAGGTACTGCGAAGGCGATGGTTGCTAGTTTTTCAGAAGAATTAACCTAAAGTTTTCGAGGAGGCAGATAGGGCTAATAATTTCTAGGAGCATAGTGGGTCTTTTTGTGTGTTTAGAAGGAGGATAGCATTAGCAGCTTTGAAGATGTAAGGAGTATCCAGTGGCAAGGGAGCCATTGAGGAGGTGTGTGTAGCATAATGATAGAGTCAGGAATGTGTTTTAGGATAATATGTTTTAGGCAAGGCGCCAGGAAGCCTTGGGAGGAGAAGGGTGTCTGAGGAGAGTTTTAATGACTTTGTTGGTGAAAGGATGTCGAGTTTCTTGGGAGGAGGTTATAGAGTTCTAGATGAATGTGGCTATCAGGTGTTGTATCGTGTGTGTGTGCAGTGTTCCAATGTTCTATGTTCTGAATGTGTTGAATAACGTAGGGTGAGTCGGTTGAGGGTGGAAGATGTTCTCCCAGAGGAGGAGCAGACGCTATATATAGCCAGGAAGAGGTGGTGTGGTGGTAGTAAGTGTAGTATAGTAGTACAAGAGTTGTATAAAATCTAACCAACAATGATGAATTAAGTCACATGCACAACACCCTGGCATCCCCCATCATAGACTTTTTTAGCCGTCCAGCCAGCACTGGATGGCGAAACGTCCACACAAAGACAACCAGACGCACGCACGTGTGTCTTAATTTTATCAGTAGTTTGTAGTAGTAGTTAAAGAAGAAGAGGTATAGTAGTGGTAGTGGTAGAAGTGGAAATAAAAAGGACGAGCCATTCAAAAAACAAAGGAAGGGGAGCACTGCAAGAAGCTAGATGGCCCCACAGAGGAGAGCAAGCGCACTGAGGTTCGTAAAAGGGAGTGTGAAATAAATGAAGTAGAAACAGAAACAACCTAACAGGAGAGAGAACGACAACCCAGAGAAAAAGAAAGAGGAAAGGAAGAGAAGATAGTAGAAAATAGAAAAAGAAAAAATGAGGATTCAGGTTAAGTCGACGTGTGTATTATCGAATAATGGATCATTTTACAATGTAGTGGTAGAAGGAAGGCATCTACAGAGACTAAGCCAGGGCAACGGTTCATACAATGAAAGTTTATGTAATTAGAGAGATTTCAACTAGTACGGGGGCGACTGTTCGAGTTGAAGTAGGGAAGACAGTTTTTTAGCAGAAGACCAGGTCAATATGAAGGCT